TCTTTCACTGTCTTTCTCTCTGTCTCTATCAGTGTCTCTGTGTCTCTATGTCTCTCTCTCTTTCTCTCTCCGTCTCCGTGTCTGTCAGTGTCTCTGTGTCTCTCTGTCTCTCTCACTATTTTTCTCTGTCTCTGTCTTTCTCACTGTCTTTCTCTTTGTCTCTCTGTCTCTGTCTCTGTCAGTGTCTCTTTCTCTCTCACTGTCTTCTCTCTTTCTCTCTCACTGTCTCTCTCCCCGTCTTTTCTCTCTGCCCCCCTCTGTTTCTTCCCCTCACCCCTAATTGTTGTTGTTCTGTGACTCACAGCAACCCCATATGGACAAGAGCCCTAAACCCTGCTCTATCCTGTGCCAACCTTACCGTCTCCAACACACCCACCCCCAGGACCCCAGTCACTGAATCAATCCATCTCACCCAGGGTCTTCCCACCAGGAGCTGACCCTTATTTCAAAGACCGCGTCTTCACCCTGATACCATCACAGCATGCCACACAGACCTGCAAGCTGAAAGGTCACAGGATCAAATCCAAAGGCTGCCCCTCAAGAAATAAATGGGGAAAAAATTCCACACCTCCCCCCCCCAAGGATCTCTCTCTCTCTCTGGCATGAAAACCTCAGAGAGGGGCCAACAAGCTTTGGGGACCTTGAAGCGTGCAGAAATGTCCCTTCTTTCTCCAGCCTGTGTACGTGGCAGGTGCAATAATCCAGGCTTCCTGGCTTCACAAGCATGTCGCATTTCTACATTTCCAAACGCACAGAGCCAGGGCTTTGGGGGAGAGAAAAAAAATAAAATAAGCATGCTGGCTTCAGCTGTGGAACCTGTGTGCTCACTGAATGGAATACTTTTTGCCACCACTGGGCTATGGGACACCAGATCCAGCCTGCTTATTGTTTTGGGAGGTGTAGACTTGGCCACTTTGTCCAGCTTCCTGGCTAGCTCCCAGCCCGTCCTCTGGGACAAGACCTGTCCAGCCGTATTCCTGCAGGCCAGTCTCTGTCACCATCCTGCATCCCACTGGCTCTCAGCCGGCCCCCCACGCTGGTAAACACTCATTCCACAAGTACCAGCTGTGGCTTACTCTCAATTATACCTCTTTCATCAAAGACTCTCTCCCCAGGGCCAATTGGCAACACCGTGATAGATGGAGAAGAGATTGAGGTGGTTTACAATTTCAACTTGCTCAGCTCCACAATCAACACTCTTGGCACCAGCAGGCAGGAACTCAAAAGACAAACTGCATTGGGAAAAATCTGCTCTCAGGGGCCTTTCCAAAGTCCTGAAGAGCAACGATGTCAGTCTAGAGACTAAGGTGCGCCTGATCCAGACCATTGTCTTTG